CTAGATCCATCAGAATTATTTACGTGTTCACCTTAAAGCGAAATCTAACCTATATACTTCACATTTATATAGCACTTGACTATTTATACTTAATTTTATTAACGAAAGCGTAACTCCCCTAGCACCTCTCGATACTGATTCCAGTCTGTCCTTCTCACGTTCCTGTAGGTTCGTGTACAGTACCAGGTTATAGTAGTAAGTTTTCTGTGACAGTACATAACAAATTAAAAACAGCGCAAAGGCTGTTGTTAACTCATTCCTATGCACACACCCATAATGCATTTGCGAATCGATAACATTTTTTCAAATATATATTAGTGTTCCTGAAATTTTTTTCATAAAATAAGTCATTTTCTAGTAATTTAAGTTCAAATTGAAATGGCCTTTTTGAATTTTAAATTGAATCACAAAAAAAATATTTCAACGTGTTTGGTTAAATTTTTCGTAGAGTAGGCCTACAATTTAATCAGCAAATTATAGGACAGTTGTCACACAGTATCAATTGGTATTGTACTGACTAGAGAAGCCTAGTGTTTGTGTTGTTATCTTTCACACACGTGTTCAGTCCCTTGTAGTAGGTGCAGGCGACATGAACACTGCAGCATCCCGTGTCAGGTGCGGCCAGGACCAGGTGGACGATGATTTATCAAGTCCCGTGTTGATGGCGGAGCCCCGCGCCATGGCGGACGAATTAAGCATCCACCCTACATTAATCTTTGTTCAAACTCGCCTACAAGAATCACTTAGAGGGCTCCGGGTCTTATCCCGCGGCGAGGGGATGAGCTGTCTTGCATCATTACAGTCTTATCATATGACACGGGGAGGGTACAGCCCGGAGTATGTTGATAAGGTTTATACCACTGCGTACCCCGTGCGCAATGACAGAAGAAAAGTCTAATTCTGTAAAAGATGAGATAGAAATAACACTTGTCGTAAAGCAGCATCGACTTTGTGTACTTTTACAATTATAATTGCTCTAGAGTAAATAAATATCTTTGTCGAATGAAGAAGTGGTGTTTGTGAAGGTCTAGTGGACCTACCTGGTGGCTGTTAGTGTGGGACAGTCAAGTGTCGGGGGATTAGCACAGAGTTCTAGACAAGTGTTGACAGTCCGAGTCTCCCTTGTAGCCCAGATTAGCAACCCTTCCACAGCTGGGGGTCAACAAACTTTGCATTCGTCACCAATTCTACACATTAAGAGCTTGACCAGTGACCAACTCTAGTATCTTGCTTTGACTATTTGACTAGGTACAGATGCATATGTATTGTTACATTAAAATTCATTGGTGTATACGTTTTATCTTTATCTAGAAAGCCAGAAATATTAGATGGTAAAGTTATCTTTTGACACTTGTTATAACCTACATTTGCTTAAACTTTTATTACTTTTGTATTGCTTTATAGCGTAGGCTGACAGTGAAACGCCATTGGTTCCACATTGGGAGGTTGGATATAGAGTAGTTTGAGATAACTTAATCTGAAACAATTAACTACTTGCTTTACTATTCAATTTTACTTTTATTTCTTGTTTTTGCAGTTAAAACCACTAAACCATTCTCATCAGCAATGATCAGGGTATTTCTTAATTTTCTCTTATTATAATTTTATTTTTATCTTTTACTTGTTATGAAGCACTCTTACTATATTAGTGCAGTACTTAGCAAAGCAACCCATACCTGTGAGAGTAAGGTGTATATTAGTTATTACTGCACTAATGTTTTTTTATTCAGAGATTAGTTAAGTCGTAGAAGCTAGATTTAAATTCTAAATATCAGCTTATGATAAAATAAATATATTGTTTACTATTTAATCAATCAACCCCTACTACTGTAAAATCATATTTTTTCCTGTTCGATTCTCTTTAATACAGTACTAATTACTAATTACTGTCTCATCAGCAACAATCATGGTATTCCCAAATTTTCTCTTAGTTATTATTTTATTTTTATTTTTTCACTCTTATATAAGTACAGTACTTAGCAAAGCAACCCATACCTGTGAGAGTAAGGTGTACAATCATATTAGTTATTACTACACTAATGTTTTTTTTTATCCAGGGGCCCATTTCATAAAAAAATACAAACTAATACTACAGTATTAGTAAATCAGCTGATCGCCCAATGCAAAACTAATGGAAATTACAAGTTACAAGTTGTAACTTGTAACTTGTAGTTTATTATGAAATGTGCCCCAGAGATTAGTTAAGTGGTAGAAGCTAAATTTAAATTCTAGATATCAGCTTATGAGAAAATAAATATATTGTTTACTCAATCAATCAAACCCTACTACTGTACAAACATAATATTTTTCAGTTTGATTCTCTAATTACTAATTTGAATTACATGTAACTTTCTACATTATAATCTTAGACAAATTCATTGAACATTTCCTATTTAATGCAAATAGTTTTAATGCAAATCCAACTAATAAGATATATTTATTCCGCACATGTCTTAGTTGTTTAAGCAGATAGGTAGAGGAGATACATAAAAAAGTCTGACCATTTAAAAATTTCTTCTATGTAGGCTACTAAGATTTAGTAGTGACTTGGTGTTTTATTCATTTTGTGGTGATGGGATGCCATATGCATCACCCGGATGTACCCTCATGTCTTTTAATTTAACACCAGTTTAGAACTTCAGTTATAATAATCAAGAATCAAGTTTCATTACATAGTGGCTGTTCCAGCCAACCTATTTAAGCTAAAAATACCCCCACCGCAGCAAACCTGCAGACTAAGCAAATTTCCATTTGCCTGAATTGATTTCAATTAAATCTATTTTTAAATAACATTAGGTTTGCTGCTAGGTGGTTTGCTTAGATTGTTGTTAGGTTTGCTGCTACAGGGAGGCTAATAAAGTGTGTTTTTAGTAAAATATTAGTAGCTTAGTATAAAATAAATAAATTTACCAGGTTTGATCAAAATATTTCCATAAACAAACAAACTATGTACAACATTTTACAATATTCTCCATAAGAATAACATGGTAATTTAAAATTTGCAATTTTAGACAAAAACACTTTAGTATACTAAATAATTTGTTTTTTTTTTAAGCTCTTTAAAATAGTCTAGAGATAAATTGGGATGACCTGTGATAGAAAAAAAGTACCCCCACCGTAGCAAACCTGCAGACTAAGTGAATTTCCATTTGCCCGATTGGGTTTTCAATTGAATCTATTTAAATAGCATTATGTTTAACAACTGTTTTAATCTCATTCGAAAGAATATAATGGTAATTTAAAACGTGTAGTGTTTGGAACTTGATCCCTTTAATCCTACAAGAACGCTTCATATTAATATTTTGTTTGTTTTTAGCGAATTTCCCATATAGGGAATAAGCTATTACCGTAGTACTCATGGTAAGACCTGGACGCGGGACCGATTTTGTTTTTCGTTTTGAGGTCCCTAGAGGCCAAAAACACCATCCGTTCAAATTCATATATATATATATATATATATTTATATATATATATATTTATATATATATGTGTCCGTTAGCACGATAACTCGAGCAAAAATGATCCGATTTTGATGAAATTTGGTAAAAACGTGTAAACCTACGTTTATTCGAACGAGTTCGCGATTCAGCATGATCGGACCATGGGAACGGGGGTTTACGGGGGGTTTTATGGGGTAAAAATAGGTTTTTCCCATTTTTGACCCAAAAAACATAAAATTTAGCAATTTCTTTCCAAACCATTTTGTAGAGCTTAAAAAAACAAATAATTTAGTATATTGAAGCGTTATTATGCGCCTAATGGTTACGGAGAAAATTCCAAAAAATTGTAAATTTAAAATTCCCATGTTATTCTTATGGAGAATAAGTAAACTGTTGTAGTTTGCTTGTTTATGAACATATTTTGATCAATTTTGGAAAATGTTTTTATTTCTTACTAACTATTAACATTTTACAAAAAAAACAAAGTTTTACCCTCCCTGATGCAGCAAACCTAAGTACTTGTTCAACTAATTCTATTTAAATCGGGAATAAATGTTATATTTTTAAGTAGACATTTCAGTGTAAAAATCAAATCAGTCAAATGGAAATTCGCTTAGTCTGCAGGTTTGCTGCGGCGGGGGTATTTAAGCTCTTAATGATAGATTTAATTTAAACTGAGCATTTTAGTTTTTTAAGTGTATTAATTAAAAATAACCAATTTTAGAAAATTTACAAAATTCCATATCATTCTGGTCCCATAACAGAGTCTTGCTGGTTTTAAACTCAATCAAGTTTATCAGCTTTACACATTCATACCAAATTTTATCATAATCGTTTATAAAACACATATGGTAAACAAAATTTGAAGAAGCGGTGTTTTGGCTTCTGGAGACATCAAAATAAATAAAAAATTAATTGGGTGTAGGTCTTTCCGTGCCACCTACGGTAATAGCTTCTTCCCTATAGGGAAATCCGCTAAAATGATCTTTGTGAAATGAGCCTCTCAAAGAGTATACTGTTACTGAGATTGATCTAATACAGTATGAACGAGTGACACGGTGATCAGAATTCGAGATTCTCCTAAATTTGGTCACAGCTTCAAACAAGACATGTAAATAACAGCGTTCGCCTTATACGATGTATAAAACCTCGTGTATATGTGGACTAACCTCTGAAGTACCCAGAAAGTACCTACACCCCTTGCAAACATTGTCTTTATCCAATTGACCTACCCTATTCATTTCCATCAACTATTGATGGCCTTATATAGTGGTTGACAACTAAGATCACAGAAATCTTATCACAGAAAGCAATACATAGACGGAAGTGCTAGTTTTCTTTCAAAGGTTTAGATCACTGTGACTAGATTAATTGTCTAGGGGTGGGAACCGACTAGAATAATAGTGGATGAAATAAGGTACACGACGTTGGTTCTTAGATTTGAACTAACTAGCTTGGTTGCGACAGGAGTACAACTGTAGAAATGTGCAGAAGTGTTATGGTAGAGAATGTTGATGTAGATAACTCAAGTGAGTGATGGATGTAATCGTAATGTTACAGGACATGGAGCTGATAGAGGTGTTGTGGAAGCAGGATGTGGACATGGGGCTAACAGTGGATCTGCTCCAGTCACAACCTGCAGACCCGACACTGACCAAGCCTGGGCCGGACCCGGACCCTAAGGCCAACACTACCCTCTCTGAGCTGCTGGACCCAGACCCTCTGGACAAGGTAGACATTAGATGAGATTATATAGAACATACTGTGGTTTTGGGTACTGTACAATCGGTTGGTTGTTCTGTGGACATCAAGTGATCAATGGAAGACAGTACAGTATTATAGTTATAGAGTCATCTCTGTTATAAACATTAAACTGTGGTAGATGTTAAATCAAATTGAAACACTAGCTGAGACTAAATGAGGAACTAATGTTAAATCACAGTGTAATATTTTCAGAAACATAAGATTCAAGGAGACCTACCTATACTTTAATAATGATCAAATTCTCTTCTACTATTGGATTTCCATCTGAGCTTCGTTTTGTAGCAGGCAAATATCTTATCATTTCCTTATCTTGTTCCCTGATGATTCACAGCTTAAGACTATTGAGTATTGAGCAAATAATTCTTATGACAAATTCTGTTCTACCTTTGTCTGATTTCCATATGAGCTTCCTTTTGTAGCAGGCAAATATCTTATCATTTCCTTATCTTGTTCCCTGATGATTCACAGCTTAAGACTATTGAGTATTCAGCAAATAATTCTTATGACAAACTCTGTTCTACCTTTGTCTGATTTCCATATGAGCTCCGTTTTGTCAGCAGGCAAATATCTTATCATTTCCTTATCTTGTTCCCTGATGATTCACAGCTTAAGACTATTGAGTATTCGCAAATAATTCTTATGACAAACTCTGTTCTACCTTTGTCTGATTTCCATATGAGCTCCGTTTTGTCAGCAGGCAAATATCTTATCATTTCCTTATCTTGTTCCCTGATGATTCACAGCTTAAGACTATTGAGTATTGAGCAAATAATTCTGATGACAAATTCTGTTCTACCTTTGTCTGATTTCCATATGAGCTTCTTTTTGTAGCAGGCAAATATCTTATCATTTCCTTATCTTGTTCCCTGATGATTTACAGCTTAAGACTATTGAGTATTCAGCAAATAATTCTTATGACAAACTCTGTTCTACCTTTGTCTGATTTCCATCTGAGCTTCGTTTTGTCAGCAGGCAAATATCTTATTATTTCCTTCTCTTGTTCCCGGATGATTCACAGCCCAATGATCCATATTGTTTTGTCGGTGCCCAGCCTGGTGTATGTAAATACAGCAGTATCACTCGGTGCTCTGCATTCCTCAGCTGGATTGAGATGTTATCAGGTGTTTAATTAGATGTTGTCAACACAAGATTGACTGTCAACATCAATTAGAGTGGTGCAAGTCACTACCCGGCTGATGTTTATCTTGCCTGGACCCACATCACATCCCTGCCTCTCTGTTACTGCCTTCTTCATCTCCACTCTTCATTCCCCCCGGGCTTTTTTGTCTTCTATTTTCAAGAATAAATATTTTTTTTTTTTATAATTTCAGTTCCGTTGTACACTACGAGTTCTACTTTTCATAAATATGCATATATTATTTCACAATAACACAATCATAAAATTTTCCAACCTAGCCTACTGTATTTTGTAAATAAGAAAAACTTGTTTATGTAACTGAACAATAAAATTATAAATTTTAACATTTCCCTAATAGGGCTAAACTCTTTCTCTGTACCTCATTTAGATTTATTGATGTATTGATTACAAAACTCTGTGATTTAGATTTATTTAAAACGTTGATTATTTTTTTTCTTGTTAATATTTAGGTTTGGAAACAGGCACAATTGATACAGTAAAGAATTTGGTTCGGTGCATTTGGAAAACATTTTTCATTACTGGTCTCATAGAATCGGCTTTGGACATTTCTGTTCTTGGTTGTAGGTGGTTGTAAACATTCAACATCTAAAACTAAAGAAGATATTTTTAAAATTATTATAATTATGGTAGATCATTAATTTTATTTGGTCATACTAGATGGACTGTGATGATTGGTGAAGATTCCTATCAGATTTATATCCTTAAATGCTTCAAAACAGAGAACTAAAGCGTAAATGTATGGCGAAATGTAGATGTAAGCGATTGTACTGTAGTCAGCAGTGTAGATCAGAAGTAGGCAGTAGGTGGTGGACTGTGTAGATGGTGGGGGAGAGGTGATTGGACGAGTTGTAGTTTTTACACACACTCTTGGAGTGGTGTGAGAGTACGGATGATTGATCTGTGGGAACCGAACATTACTTGCAACATGATCACATTCCTGGTCCTGCCAATCACAATGTCCCTTGCTTACTTACCTCGCTCTGTTGCCTCAAACACTTAAACCCCTCTTAGCTTATTTTATAACTTTTTCACCATTGCTGCAACTCGTCAAAATAGTAATCCTCACTAAATGTCTCCTAGTATTCTTCTAACCACCTTCATTTGGCTTCTGTGAAATTCAATGTTTCGTCTGTTACATGTTCAACATTTTGATATGTTCAGTGCTCAAAATCAAGTGCATTGTACTTTTTCACGTTAGCCTTTAAAGAGGGATTTTGAAATTTTTATTAACAATTTAGCCTATATCAAATGACAAATGACAATCGAAATATAAATAAACTAAGATTTAGCCAGTAAGGTACCAATAAAGCTACATCACAGTGGGACTTATGTTAGGAGAGGTAGATAAGAGAACAAATGTCTGTTACTAAGAGTTGTTGAACAATTCCTCAAGACTATAATATTCTTTTTCTGCTAAAACTGTTTTGATTTTGTCGGTAAATATCATCAACAGACAAATTATCTGTTCATTTTATTTAGGATATAGAACTCGTAATGACAAAAACATGAAATATCATTGTAGAAATTTCTTTTAGTTTAGGGTTAGTGACATTTTCAAGTAAATTTTAATGCAATGTTCCAACTCTTGTTTTGTTACTAACATCAACATGCTGTTTACAAGCATTATTTACTGCGTAACAAATGTTTTGAGTATGTTGAGTTCAAGACTAATTTAGTGAAAGTAATAGTTTGTATATAGTGTAAATCTATCTAATTCCAACTCTCACTCTTATGTTTGGCTTTTGTTGTAGCTACCTGATTTGGATGATTGGGATGGTCTGCCCTACACAGTGGATGAGGAAACTGGTAAGTTAACTTAGATTCAGATCATGGTGGTCACCACCTAACCTGAGTACAGTAAAACTTCACTAACTCGACACCCGTTAACTCGACAATCTTTGTAACTCGACAATCTTTGTAACTCAACAGTCTAGCACACTTCTAGCGTGGCTTTGTCTTACTATTGGGTTAGATTTTTTAAATGTTTAATATTCAACATTTCTTTGAAGTTTGTTTACTCAATATGTAAAAATACTTATCTGAGTGATAAATGAAAATGAGTCTTTTTTAGGTACCTATTCATTTATTAAAACCCATTGAAAATGTCAATGTTCTGGATAATTTGTCAATTCCCAAACTCGACAATATATGGGTCCACAAATTGTCAAGTTAGTGAGGCCTTACTGTATTAATAGAAAATTAATTACTTCTGTGAAATTGATAAATTACAAAAATAGATATTTTAAGACGAATTATGTTGATGGGTGGGGATGTATTGCAATGGGTCTACATCATAGAGCACCGTCCACTATTACTTGGTGTCAAACACTTCCTTCAACAACATTCAGTAAAGTAGCAACCACTACATGTGCCAATCTATTCTGTTTGTCATCAAACATTTGTGTATGTTGAAGCGGTGTGCAGTTCATTTGAAAAGGTTTAAACTAGGTACCTTTAGAGATGATTAAAATGTGAGTTACTGTAACAAGTAGTTATCAGTTCTTAACACATTAGAGTCGGGACCACATCAGTTTGCAGTTGAGGGAGGAGCCTATTTACCATATGGGTTTGAATGAACCAATGAGAACCGTGCGGTGTTGCCAAATCTAATAAAACCAGCTGATTTGAAAACATTGCTTAGTATATTTTATTAGTGCGATGTGGCAACGTCGCACTAGCCTTGTCTTGTGATTGGCTGCCACCAACTGCAAACTTACGTGGTCCCGACTCTAGATACTAGCTATACTCTGTCCTTATATACAGAGGAGAGTGACGGTCGGTAGGAAACGTGTTAAAGTGATTTCATAAAAAAATTTACCATGGGAAAGTGAGATATTAGCATGACTTGCATGGCAAAACTTAAACGCAGCGCTTTCACTTTTACATTTTTTTTCTAGTTAGCCGCCATATTATTTAATAGAGCATAACAGGATCTTAATAGGTACTTGAGTAGTCTAGCTAAACAAATGAATAAAATTAGAATAATTAATATAACTTAATCTCTCTTTTTTCAAACCAAATACAAGGTGATAAGATATTAAAGTCTCTTAATTTATATAGATCAGTCTATCCTTTAGGAAAAAATGTAACACAGCAGTAATTGGTTGCATGTTAATTTAAAAACGTCTACTCCACCACATTCACAAGATATACTACTGTATATGTAACTCCTCATTTGAACTTCCAACAATCGCACCTTACTACCCAAGTAATGCTGAAGTAATTTAGAAAAATTGATTTGTTCCTCACACTTTTATAGTTGAGTTGGATGTCAAGAAGTTATTTTGACAATGTCATTTTGTTTCCATTGGTTTACTTTCTGCAGCTGGATTCTCTTCCTGGTAATAAAGCACTTACATACATCCATATGCTGATAATTGATGAATTATTTACTGAAAAATGTTTGAATTAAAATTAAACTTTTCATTAATTTTGATTTCCAATAAACATTTGTAAAAAAATGTCTACTCTGATTTACCTTGAACTAATGTTTAGTCTCAAACAGAATAGATTGGTATCTTTTTGTGGTTGCTACCTAGCTGGATGTTGTTGAAGGATGTTTCCGACAGCAAGTATTAGTGGAAGTTCCTCTTTAATTTACCCATTGCAATAAATTAGGTATGACAAATCTACTAATGAAAAAATAGTTTTTTTGTTGTTTTGATTAAAAAAAACAATATTTTAAATCCTTGCGTAACAACATCTAGATGCCTTCATTACGGTAACTCATGACTTAGACGGTAGGAAATGCTTCTGAATCTGTTGTGTATGTTTGCTCACTACACTAGTGGTGGAGCAAGTCTCAGAGTCCAGATTGAGTTTTAACAATTGCCGAGGTGTAGCCAGTCTGGCCGTCGCGCCGCGCCGAGTCGTGACGAGTATTGTGCCCAGACATCATTACTCATAAAGAGCGGCCCAGCCAATCCATATTTTTCCAGCGGCCGCCATTGTGTTGTGATTACCAGAGTCCCCGGTCGACCACCATTAATCTTGCTCCGGACAGAACACACAATCCGAACGCGAGGGGAAAAGAGCACTTCCATTTTGTTGGTAGGATCGAGGGGCGATATCGCATGCACGCAGCCGGGGGTGAATTCGGAATGATATTGGAAGGAGGTTTCGGATAAGTGAGTTCTTTTGTAGGGTAGAATAGAACCGTCATGCGATTCCCTCGGTACTCTACTGTGATTAAAACACAACTGGTCATAAAGGGTTGTTTGATGATCCGTTACAAATTTTGCTTCATTTTTATAAGAGCACTTGAATTTGTTCTGCAAGCGTTGGGGTGTTTGAGTAGAAAGTAGTTCAAAACATCATTCTTAGTTTCAGATTTTTTTGTTTATGAAAATATTGGATTTTTTAATAAAAGTGATACACATCTTCCAAGAATAACCCCCTCAAGAACCTGTAACATGTTCAATAAAACATAAACTTTAAAGTGTATGGAGAATATAGTTAATAAAATGGAGGAAAGTTAGTTTTTTTAGGTGTCTTTATAAAGAAAAATATATTTAAAAGAAACTTATTTATAAAAATATAAAACATAGTTCCTAAAAATCCCTTGTAAAATTATAGGCATGTCATTTTAGCAGGGGTATAGTGGAACGGGAATGTCATTCCCACTCTGCTTTTTTAAGCGTTTCTACACTGGAAATTTCACAATTACCACGACTGCATTCAACCCATTTTTACCAGAGTCAATATGTTACTTGTCTTATTTAAATACTTCAAACAAACATTTTTAACATTTGATTAGCCTAAAAATCCGTATTTCCTATCTATAAATTGAGGCGCTAAAACTATCTATTTTTATTAGACTACCAGAAATCTGGATAACAGCAGGTAACCCATTAAAATTTTGAATAGTCTGAGCCTGAGTCTTTACCGAACGTAACAGTTAGTGAGCTATTAGATGTTGAAGAGCGGAGAGGTTTCTGAAAGCTGGCGAAAGGATGACTGGCTTTGTCTCGGGTTGATTGAAGTGTCACCAGCCTCCGCACAACGGTGGTTGACACGATATACCACAAAAACATGATTAAATCTGTGCAACGGTCACTTTCTTGCAGACAATGCCTGTCCTACATGCCTGTGCTTGGCAACAGTTTGTTTTCCTAAAGATTTCTTGCCTGGCCTAATCCCCAGGGAACATACCGTGCCTCCCTCCACATGACTAATGATATCGGTTGTCAAACTCAATGATTGATTTTGTTCACAAACCATTTTCTCTCTTACCTGATGTATGACCTCCTAGTTTAAACTGTCTGTGGGAAATAGTTTGTTCGTTAATCGTTGCAAAAGTAGAAAAAAGATGTGTACTTGTTAAATTACTGAAAATACCACTCCTACTCACCACGTTGTAATAAATATTTTCAATCAAGCCATGCTTTAAACTATATCTAGACTCGTAGTTAAAATGATTTATGGATGTAAAAATTTTATTTTAAACTTTAACTGAACTCTCCTTGGATCCCCTTGACTCTTTCCAAATTTGTGATCCTAAGGCCAGGAACTAAACTATAATTTATTAATCACTACTAAAACATTAATCAAAATACCTCCTCTTAAGACTGTTCAAACTTGTTGTTCAGATGTTGACTGGGTAATAATACTGACCAGCTCAACTTGTAGTTGTAGCATTTCCTGAAGATAGATGCTTCAAAGCATCAGAAAAACGCTGGTCAGTATTTTTGCCTGTGTGACAACACCTAAAAAAAGATTCTTCAGTCTACTCTGGCCATAGCAGCCTACCATATAATTCCGACAAAGGTTTAAATATATTTTCATCTTGTGACACATTTAGCTTTTATTACCTCTTGGATTTAGTTTATTACTTCACCAAATAGATGGGTTTTGTTGTGTACAATCCGGCCAGTAAAATAAATTAGCTTACAGCTGATATTACTGATTATCAAACAATAAAATTCACAATAAAAGCAGTTTCAAAAGATTTTTTTTCAAACTAGTCAACCTCCAACCAAATAATTAAAAAAATTCCAAGTCAAGTGTTAGATTCAAACTGAAAAAATCTGCCTTGAAGATCACTCCTTGTTAATTAGTTTCTACTTTGGCTATGGTAAATGTCAATGGATCAAATACACCGGTATTGATTGAAACGCAGTTCACCTTGCCACGAATAATATAAAAATGTGGGATGTGATAGGTGTCTGTTGGCTGCAGTGTTATTAGCCCGACGTCTGACACTGATTACACAGTCCAATAGCGCTCATTGTCAGAGTGAGCTCGATATGCTACAACCTTTGTTAATTGGTCCCCGAGCCCATATGCTGTATGTCCTGGTCACAAACATGTAGTGAACGGAAAAGCCTAATTAAAATTAATTGGGGTTATATAAATAGCTTTTTTTAAAAAGTCTCACCATGTAGATTAATTTTCTAGGTTTGTTTTTAAAGCGTACCCCCCTCCCCCTCACCAATATGTATCTCATAACCAGATGTTAATCGTAACTAGAGCACGGTGTAGGAAGCAGAGGGTGGAGGTCCTGTTACGAGGTACGAAGGCTGAGGGAAGTGAGCAATGCCAGAGGAAGTTCTGTTTAATTGAGCGTATTGGAGTTTTGATGAATCGACAAGGTTGTAGAAGAGTGTTGACCTAATGTGTAGCGAACGAAAGTCAGCATGACAGGCATTCGGCAGAACAGATCCTGAGGTACCGTTGCCTCTCACACGGTCCGCGGGCTGCTGGCCCCTGACTATACTCACTGTTGTGGCTGGAAACTTTAACATTAAACCTCTCAACACTATCGTTTCAAATAGTGTGTTTTATGCGTTTTCTTAAGCTCTGCATAA